ACCGTCATAAAAAGACGAGTTAAATTTGTCCCTAACGATCTTATTACCAACCTTACCATCAATCAGAAAACGGGGTCAGGCTGATCCGGTTGGACCAGTGAAGCTGTTCTGGTGCTGCTCACAAACCAGCTGCTCTTCTGTTTCTTCACAAGGAAAATAAATGTAGAAAACTTCCAGCTGACCTGAGTCTGTAAACCTGATGGACTTTACTGTTATCTCTGTAACGTCTCATAAAGTCGACATCTTGGAGATGAAATATCATTTTTATCATTTTCCAGAAGGAAAAACCAGTTTGAGTTGGTGACTGTGTGAAGCTTCTGCAGATCCCACAACAGAGGAAACATGAATGAATCCAAACTCAACGTATTTAATGTGAAGTTTTACTGCACAATCATTTCCACCTAATTCTGTAAATATAAACCTGGATGGACAGAAATTTGTTCCAGCGTTGAAAGCAAAGAACACGTAAAAAAAACTGCATTCATAAATGAAAACTTTAAGGTTTCTGACGGCCTTTTATTTATTAATTTAATGAAGTTTTGACAGCTTTTGAAATGCAGTTTGTGATATTTTAGCCAAATGTCTATGATGGCTTATTTATATTTATTCAAATGTGTTTTTAATGAATGACTTGATGTTGGTAATTCATATAAAATGTCATTATAAGTTTAACCTCAGCATGTTTGGTTGATGTTTTGAAACGTTACCATCAGTTATGCTGACGACTCATTGCACCTTTTTACTGACCGGATCTTCAGGTCAGATGATTTATCAAATTTATCAATTTATTGATTTAATTATCAGTTGTAACTTCTTTGATTTCAGTTTCTGGATTTTCTTTTTAATCTGTTTTCTAAATCAACAAGTTTAGTTGAGCTCCACAGCAAACATCAGGTTTCTCTGTAAGCATTTTGTCTGTTTGGTTTTATTTGTTCTCACGTGAATTCATTCATTCATTCATTCTGTTTCAGGGTTTTGTTTTGATTCCCTCAGTCGGGTTTCGTTGTTCAAATCTTTTCTCTTTAGTGAAGGATTTCTTTATTTCTTAGACTTTGAATGTGAAACATTCAGGTTTTGCTCAAACTTATCAGGCTGGAGCAGAATGAAGGAGGAGAACCAGAACCCAGAACCGGACCTCCAGAACCCAGAACCGGACCAGCCAACTCTACACACCAGCCTCCAGACCCAACCGGGTCTTTCAGTTCAGGTTGGTCTCAGTCCAGGATTTTTTTTTTTTTTACTGGATCAAAACTTGAGAGGAAATAAATTCACATCAGTTTATTTGTAAATTTTCACAGCAGACGTCGATTTGAGGTAATTAAAAAAAAACAAGATTTCACTTCAGTCACATTCACTGGCTGATCCTCATCATCAGGCAGTGCAAAATAAACTCAGATTATTATTCAAAGAAGTTTAAAAAGTTTCTATCTAAGGAAACCAGCAGGTTGCATCGAGTCATTGACTTGGAGCATCACTCCTCCTGACCAGCAGGGGGCGACAGTTAATGCTTCTGAAGGTTTTTCTGTTTTGTCTTTTTGCTGTTTTATTTTCTTCAGTCCTTTATAGCAGCTTAAGTGTTTAACCTCTGAGACCCAGAATACATTTTAAAATACGTTGGTTTGACAAAAGCATGATTTTAGCTCCAGTGCTGCTAGCTGAACCGTTTCAGAAGATCACCTGATGGATGATCAGGTCCTGTCTGGGTCTGGTTGGACGTTTTTCTGCTTCATTAAACAGAAAAGAAACATAAAAACTTAGAGATATGGATCACCTGCTGGAGATCAGTATAAACATTTAATATTATTTAAAATTAAAATATCTGTTGAAGAAATTAAATATTCAACACAAAGGTAAAAACATACAATAGCCCCTTTCATCAAACACACAGGTCAAGTACCAAGCTGGTCCCAGTTTTTCTCCTCTTACATTTTATTTAATTCTCCAAAACATCTACAGCTGAAACCAGATCAATATATAAAGACAGATATAATTTATTCTCACTGTCAAAAGTTAAATCAGATCAAACTTCTATTGTTATATATGAAAACTTATTCAGAACTTTTTATGTAACTTTTTGAACTCAGAAGTTTTCACACATTCACTCAGTGTCATTATAATTATCTCTAAAACTGTCATTAACTTCCTGTCTGAATGAAAGATGTGTCCAAATTCATCTTGTTAGTTGTGTGTCTCTTATAAATATAAAAAAGTTTAAATTTCTTTTGTACTAGATGGTGTTTACCTCTCCCTCTGTGTTGCCATAGGAACAGACCGGCGCTCTGACCTCACCGTCTAAAAGGACGGCTCGTCGTCAGACTGAGCCGCTCAGCTGTGACCAGTGTGGAGCAATTTTTCCAGTCAAAGCCAAATTACAGAGACATCAACGAATCCACACCGGAGAGAGACCATTCAGCTGCAAGCAGTGTGGGAAGTCTTTTATTGATAAAGGAACCCTTCACAACCACGAACGGCGCATTCATCAGGAAGAAAAGCCCCACAGTTGTGACCAATGTGGAAATAGTTTTGCTTTGCTTTGCAGTCTGAAAATCCACCAAAGAATTCACTCTGGGGAGAGACCGTACAAGTGCGACCGCTGTGGGAAAACCTGTCGGCAGAAAGGCGATTTACTGCGTCACATTGTGACCCACACAGATCAGAGATTGTTTAAATGTGAAGTATGTGGCAAAGCGTTTAGTCGCTCAGGGACCCTGGAAGGCCACATGAGGACACACACCAAAGAGAAACCGTACAGCTGTGATCAGTGTGAGAAACGGTTCAGTAAAAACTTTGGTCTGGTGAGTCACAGGCGATCCCACACTGGAGAGATGCCCTACTGGTGTGAGCTCTGTGGCAGGCGCTTCGCTCACAAGTGCAGCCTGAGGACGCATCAGAAATGTCACAGCAACCGAGAAGGAGCCATTTTGTTTTTAATAAATTCTCTTTGAGATAAATGGGCTGAATGGAGTGTTTTTGAAGAGTGGTAAATATGATAAAAAAAAATCATATAAAATTTAATTGATTTTTTCAGTTAGCCAAGGAATTATAAAAAAATGGGTAAATTATACATATGCTACCCATTCGTTAACAGTAAAAACCATTACATAGGAAAATAGAGTAAATTATACCCCTGAATCTTGAGTCTGGTGCTCAAAAATTGTGCATGCGTCAGAATGAGCGGGACAGGGAACTCTGCATCCTCTCTGCCATCCAACCGTCAGCTGAAGGTAAGCTGTTTGTGAATAATAGCGCGAAGGCAAATTGTTACCTCAGATTTATTAGGTACTTTTTTCAGTGTGGGCTGAATGGAGCGTTGGAGAAAACTTTCAGTTGATCTCCAGAATAAGGTGCTGAGAGTCAAAGTTTCAAGGAACAAATACTTTACTGAACATCTGCAGATGGAGAAACTCTTGACAACGTCAGACTGAGCTGCCATTGGGTGAGGAGACGTCCCGTCTCTGTACAGCTCTGGTCATGTCACACAGGTGTGAATGGAAACATCAACATGTCAACCGATTCTGAGAACCAACTTCTTATTCCAAGAAACTGAAAGATGTGATGTACCTCATAATGACAGAGATGGATCTGTAGGTGATTCACTGCATATCCTGTAAGGTGGGTGTCGATATTTGATCAGCAAATGTTCCAGCTGATGTCTTGTTCTCTATTCAGAGCTGCTAAAAGCTGAGCTTGAACTGAGACGTAAGTCTAAGCAGCTTCCTGCTTCACACTGAGCGAGGCAGGAAGCTGAGCCTTTTCCTGCTGAATCAGTTTCATGTACAGACATTTGTTCTCTGCACACATTTCTGCTGTTCAGTAAGTATATCAGGCTTCAAATAAAAGCATCAACACCTTGAGTTTGTTGTTTCTTTAATGTGACGCTAAAAGTGATGCTACATGGATATAAGTATATGTATGAGCTTCACTAAGCTCCAGAAACTCTGTAAAAGTTGATCCCAGGACTGTGAGAGTCTCAGCTTCCTGTGTTGAAAGTAAGCAGAAAGTATTCACACCCTCAGAAAAGTTTGGCACCCTGGTCAGTTTGATGCTCATGAGGTCAGGAACCTCAGGGACTGGTCAGAGATGATTTTAATTCAACAGAGGCTACGGTTGCTGCTGCAGCACTGTCTGCTGCAGCAGGCTGCAGCTCTTTGGACCTTCCTCATTGAGTCTTCATCATTTGGTCAAAACATGAGAACCAACTACTTAAAAAATAAAACAAGTGCAAATTTTAGCTTTTTTATTTTTATAAATCCTATATTTAAATTTAGAATGACGCTAAAATATTTAAGTTTTTCTCATTATATTGAATTGATTTTATTTTAATGGGACAACACAAATGAATGAAAGTTCAATATTACAGTAAATACTTTGGATTTCCTTCTGTTGTCCCATAAACACAAAATAACAATAATAAATAAATGCAGTAATAATAAATGACAGGATCAGATTAACTGATACAACATGATGTCTGTTAAAATGTTTACTAAACTCTTTTATAAAACTGGAAAAAGGAACCAAAGGTTCAGAGATCACATTACTGACCTGCTCAGTTTAAACTGCCTGTTATGTACGACAGATAGGTGGCGCTGTCTCTGGTGGCTCCTGCAGCCTTTAGCTAATAAAACATTTTAATTTACCATTTTGCCTTTTTAATAAACGGTGGCTGGGCTGTGTTTTTTAAAGAATTATGAATATTTATGTGTAGAGAGAGAATTTTGGAAACTGAGCTTTTCTTTTGTTTACATCATTTTCCACAAACGTCAACATCCAAAAACATTTTTACAAATGTTTGTTTTTCAGTCTTGAAAGTTGAAATCAAACCATAAATCTTCTGTGTTTATATAAAATATATTTAAGCTGTTTTTAACAGAGATAATGTAACATTTGGGTCTTTGTTAAACTGAATGATGAACAATATGGGAAATATTTTACCTACTGAAATGTAAATAATAAATACTCTAATTCAGATGTTTTTATTTTCTGTTCTTCTGCCGGCTGAACGTGTGAAACATCCTGAATGTCTGATATGAGCTGGAAACGTTTTATTGTTTCATGTTTTCTTTCAGGATTGGGGGCGGGGCATCAGCAGGAAACTGCAGCAGCTGTTTCCTGTTGGAGGTCAAAGGTCTCCAGCTTCAGGCACAGATGGTTTATTATTCCCAGGTCATTTTTATCTCCTGTCTGGATTATTTCCTGGCCTGTTCCTGTTAATCTGGACATTAAACCCAGTCAGAATCATAAAGACGTTTTGGACGTTAAATAATCGATTCTGATTTTATTTCTTTGACGTCTGAATGTTCATGTTTAATCAGTTTTAGGAGGATTTGCCTTAAATAACAATTACAGAACAATTTTAAATAGTCTGAGCTTCATAAAGGTGTAGATTCATTTTTCATGAGCCTCCATGTTTCAGAATTTAGATGATTAAATCTGAGCTGCCAGATTTTCCTCCTGCAACACGAGTTTTCAGGTCATTAAAACTTTTCTTTCATTCTCAGGTTTTTATGCAAGAAGATCAAGAAAGAAAAGTCATTCAGGTATTAATATGATGGTTATTATAACTGATTCATTTAACGTAAATATTACGTTACATGAATCCAGATTGGAGTGAAGAGGTGGCAGAACTCTGGAAACAGTTGTTTGGATGTCAGACTTTATTATTTATTCCTGTGCAGAAAGGTCAGAGGTCATGGCCATCATAACTTGACCTGTGTGATCCTGGCTGTTTGAGGGTTAAGTTTGATTTAAAATGAGATGCGACTGTAATGAGGAAACATTAAAACCTTGTTCAAACAGCTCCAAGGCTCTTAGAGTCATTTATTAGTTTATCCATTTATTGAACGGCTCCAGTTGGTTTACACATTCAATGCGATGGAAATAAAGTGAACCTTACGCAGTTTACGTAAATACTCTCGCTGGTCTTCAAGATGCAGACAAATGCACGTTGCTGCCCCCTGCAGTCACGGAGTATGATGGTCACAGAATTGGGCAACACCTGCGGAGTAACCGGAGCGACTTCCTGCTCTGGTTCACCTGGAGTCAGGAGAGAGAAACTGTTGCTGCTCTTCTGCTCTTCGTTTATTTTACAGGTCAGTCTGCGGCTGAAACCGTCTTGAGGTAAACTTTAAGCTTTGTTTCACTTCTATGAAGCAGCTACTGATGATTTGAGCCGCTTGAGGAGTTTTATAAAGAACTGTGACGCCCTGCTAGTCTCGCGGGACTTTGTGTCTTTCTCGCGATGGTGAATTTGAGCCGAAAATGTTTAAAACCGAAACGACCATATTAATCAGATTATTCATATATAAATACACTTCAATCGAACCTGAGTGACTCATTATGTGACGTCATGAGTTGAATTAACTTTAAAAGCGCAGAAAGCTGCACAGTTTCAGAAGGATTGATGTTGTCACGTTAATAACTTGCTGCGTTACTGCAGTGTTTACAGCCGTATGAGTTTATAGCTCCAAAGTGCTGAGTCCAGTTATAAATACACAGTAACAGTTTTAAACAGAAGCCTGTCATTATGTGTTATTTACCAGGACTTCACAGAGTTTTCTGGAACAGACTGTAGTTTTGGTTTTGGTTTCTCTTTTTCCATCATTTGTTCTGGACATTTAAAGCTCTGAACGTGTTGTGAGTGAAAATAAACACAAACTGCTGCTGTGGTTTACTTATTTCACAGATGTTCTTTTTTCCAGTTGGACCTGCAACAAGCAGTTAGAGAATCAGACTGGAACCAGTGAGACACACAGGCAGTAAAAGGCCTCAGAGGTTCAACTGGAATAATATTTAATAAGGAAGATTGAAGTTATAGCCTTGGACTTTAGACCTTTTTATTCTCAGGGGGATTTATTTTCCACAAAGCTGCTCTCACATCACCAAGATGACAATAAGATAAGAAACCTCTGAGGTCAGGCTGGTTCTGATCCGGTTCTGACAGAGCTGCTCTCTTCATCAGCCTGAGTTCATCCAATCAGAGCGAAGGAAAGAGGCCAGCAGGTCACCTGGGCCCCTGATGAAGAGGAGTTTAATAAAGGAACCACAAACTGGACCAACAGGAATGAAGCTATGAGGAAACTGAAGCCTTTCTAAGGACTGAACTGGATCCAGCAGAACCGGTTCAGCAGAACCTGAAGCAGCCAATCAGCAGGGAGTCCAGGGCCACTGGCTGGATCTCTGGAGTCAGAGGAGAGCAGCTGGTGAAAACCTCTCAGTTTGTTCTGGTTTCTGTCTGAGAGGAAGATGATGATGATGATGATGATGATGGTCCTCCTGCTCGGTAAGATCATCTTCCTCTCTCTGCTCCTCATCCTCTCTGGAAGCTGCTGATCAGCTGGTGATCATAACGACTGATTATTGATTTAACTTTAACAAAGACTTGAATAATAATCATCTTTGGATGTTTTTCCTCATAAAGTCGCTTCACAGCGTAAAGATGTTGAAGTGAAACTAAAATGAAACTCGGTGGTTGTCGGCTCAGAGCCTCTGATCTGCTCTTTGCTCTCACCGGGTCAGAACCGACTCTGGATCATAAAAACACCAACATGATGATGCTGCTGCATGACGATGAACCATAAAGACGGAGAACAGAGCAGAGATGAATAACTACACCAGGCTGTCCCATGTGGACGGCGTTATTTTTAAGATTACCCTCTTCTTAAAAACATTTTTTATAAAGTAAAAGAGGCTCAACCCACATTATTATTTTCTGTATGAATAAACACCATCAAATGCTGCACAGTGGTGCAGTGGGTAGAGCTGATGCCTTGCAGCAAGAAGGTCCACAGTCCAAAAACATGACTTTCTCTAAATTGCCCCTAAGTGTGAGTGTGTGTGTGCATGGTTGTGTGTCCTGTGTGTCTCTGTGTTGCTCTGTGACAGACAAGTGACCCGTCCAGGTGACCCGTCCAGGTGACCCGTCCAGGTGACCCGTCCAGGTGACCCGTCCAGGTGACCCCACCTCTCACCTGGATCACTAGCTGGAGGCAGCAGCTCCTCCTGACCCACTAGGGACACAGTGGACGGATAAACTCCTTTAATTAGCTGCATCTTGTCTGGACACATTGAGCAACAGTCGGTGCGATGTGATTGGCTGTTTGTTTCTATTGAATATTCTGTAAACCCATTTGAAATGAGTTTTATGTTAACAGAAGGTGGAGGTCAGATCGACGTCCTGACTGAACCCAGAAGATTTTCACTTCTGACCTCATCCAGCCGCGTCCAGCTCTCTGACTCTCTCTGTGTTTTGTCCTCAGTTTCCCAGCATGCCCTGGGTGGGGTGGTAGAGGTCACTGTGGGGTCGCAGTCCGTCCTGCTGCCTTGTCGTTACTCTGGTGTCATACCGGAAGAGCCAGTCGTCACCTGGACCAATGGGGACGTTGGTCCCGCCTGCGTCCACCTGAGACGGGAGCAGGACGATCTGAGGACGCAGCTGGAGCGTTACCGGGGCCGGACGCGCATGGCGCCCAGGGCGCTGGACTCCGGCGACTTCAGCCTGACCCTGAGTGACCCCCAACCCCCTGACCAAGGTACCTACACCTGCAGCCTGAGCGACGGCAGAGGACACTGCACACTCAGGGTCAGTCAGCTCAGGGTCAGAGGTGAGCAGCGTGAGCTCCAGGTCAAAGGTCGCTGGATTCTGAGCTGGCTTAGTGAGAGGTGGTCATGTGATCCCCCAGATGACCAGGTGGAGGTGAAGACGGTGGAAGGAGCCGATTCTGTGGTCCTGCCCTGCAGAATGCCGCCCGATCTGCCCGGCGACAGCAGAGTGGAGTGGACCCGCTCAGAACCAGAACCGCTGCTGGTCCACACGCTCCAGAACACGAGCCAACCCGGAACCAGGCAGGACGACCTTTACTGCAGCCGCACCCACATGGAGCAGGACCTGCTGCGGACCGGCGACCTCAGCCTGACCCTGAGGTTCCCCACCTCCAGGGACAGGGGGCGCTACGTCTGCACCGTGTACCGCGGCGAGGACATCCTGAGGCGGGCCGTGGTACTGCAGCACGACACAGGTCAGAGGTCAACGTCATCCTGCTCTGATTGATGCAGAAACTAAACATAAACATTGAATAAAGTTTTACTTTTAGACCAAATGTAGATCCAGGTTTTACTGGGAACCTGTTATAGACGGACGGAGTTCCTCCAGGTGACTCACCTGTAAAACCAACTGAATCACCTGGTGACTCACCTGGCAGGTGAACTCCTGCTCTCTGGCTTCAGCCTGATATTTTAGGGTTTTAAGATTAAAACAATCCCTACTTTTTACCTGTTTGGACGATTCAGAGGTCAGAGTTGATGAATCTGGACTAAAAACTCATTTTCAAAATCATGTTGATGCAAGCCACTTTTAAAGGTCACAGAAAGGTCATTCAGAGTGAAACATTCAGCTCCACATGATGTTTGTCTCTTGTTTCTGCAGAGCCGTTCCCCCTGCAGGCTAAAGTTCTGGTGGTTCTCCTGGTTCTCCTGCTTGCAGCTCTCTTTGCCTCTGGCGGTCTTTTCTATTATTTTCGACATTACCTTCTGTCAGGTGAGTCTGTCCTGCAACAAAACCACAAACTCAGCCAATCGGTCGATGTCATAGTTTTCAGTTCTGTAGTGAGTCAGACAGAAAGTCCGAGCTTCAGGGCGGCTGCTGTCTGGAAGCTGATGCTTGGTTTTCCTCCCAGGCTACACGGTGAAGGTGGATGCAGGGGCGGAGTCTGTCCTGCTGCCCTGCAAGTCCAGAGTCCGTCTGCCCGAAGACGCCAAGGTGGACTGGAGGACCAGCACCAACCGGAAGGTTCACGTGTATCTACAGGGCTGTGATCGGTCGGAGGAGCAGCACCAGGCTTACCGCGACCGGACCCGGATAAACCAAGACCCGCTGAAAACCAGAGACCTCAGTCTGACGCTGCAGCGCCCCCTAGATGTGGACAGGGACACCTACACCTGCATTGTCTGCAGCAGAGAGGGACACATCCTGCTGAAAAAGGATGTGAAGCTTCGTGTCAGAGGTACAGGAACACCTTTACTTTGCGTCCTGGTTTCTGAGAAAAGCTCCACTGGCAGGAGAACCTGAGGTTCATCCTGACGGGGAAATGGGTCAATTGGTGGGTTGGTTGGAAATACAAACAGTTATTTCTGTAAAATCCATTTGGACCTTGTTTTTTACGTCTGGTCTTTGAGATTCCAGCCAGATCGTACAGAGAAACTGATTCATCCTATGATCCTCTGATTCTATATCTATCTGCTCCCTCTGGCTCAGTTATAACAGGAAATAAGATTAGTTACCATGACAACACAGGTGATGCACAGCTCAACATCACAATGTCACCAGGTGACCTTTGACCCCATCCAGTCACTGAACAGATGCTGAGAACAGATCAATGTGAGGATGAGACGAAACTTTGTCCAGCTGAACAGAAACAGAAGTTAACTTTGGACCTAAAGAGGAGCGATCTAGAGTTATAGATCTAGATATATAGACTGATAGTAGTTTATAAATCAGTGAACAGATTCATGATCAGCTGCTGATGGATCAACCTCCAGACCCCTCAGGTTCTGGTTCTGGTTCTGATCTGCATCCAGAATCAGAACCAAACATGGAGAAGGAGCATTCAGCTTCTATGTACCACAGATCTGGAACAAAGTTCCAGAAAACTGAAGTGGAAACGGTGAGCTCCTTTAAAACCAGCTGTTAGAGCTGCTTTAGAAAGACCAACATATTTGATGTGACTTGATGATGTCACTCATCAACATGTTTTATTGTTGCTAGTCTCTCAGCTGCATGGTGTTTTTTATGACTGTATTATTGTGAAGGTCCTTGAACTGCCTTGTTGGTAAAATGTGCCACACAATTAAACTTGATTGATTACAATTACTACTATCCATCCACCGTCACATTAAATAATGCCACTATTATATTTTTGAGGACCAATATTTCCTCCAGACCATCAGAGTTTTTCCATCCTGATGAAACATGTTTGTTAAAACCAGAAATCCAACCCGTCTCTTTCTCAGGCAGAATGTCCACAGAACCAACTGAAGACGCTGTACAGCCTTCATCATGTCCTCAGAGCTGCTGCTGTCTGTCCAACTCATCTTGTCCTCTGTTGTCTCTCAGTCCAACAGGTGGAGGTGGAACCAGGAGTGGAGTCTGTCCTGCTGCCCTGCAGAACCAGAGAGGATCTGGATGGAGACGTTAGAGTGGAGTGGAGGGACAGATTTAACTGGACGGTCCATGTGCATCAGAACGGTTCTGATCAGTCTGAAGATCAACACTGGCTCTACAGAACCAGAACCAAGATGGATGCAAACCTGCTGAGGACTGGAGACCTCAGTCTGACTCTGTCATGGCCGACTGATGGAGACAGTAACACCTACACCTGCACCGTCTCCAAAGGGGACGGAGACGTCCTGATGCAGAAACAAGTCAAGCTTCAGGTCACTGGTGAGTTAAATCTGCTATCATTCAGATGGTTAGCTGGTTATGCTAACTAGTGATGTCAAACTCTCACATTTAGAGCAGCGACCGCGGCTGTTTGAGTTTTAGACCAACAACAAGCTGTTTGGGGGAAACGTCTGAATAGTCGATATTGTTTTTAATCGGCTGATTTTGGTCAATAATATGTACAATATGTGCAGTTTTGAACCTGGAACCGGTCCGGTTTCAGGTTCTGGCTCCGGTGTGTGGATGGGATCTCAGTCACGAGGCTCCCGACTGTCCTCCTCTGAGGTCAGGCCTCCATTGTACTCAGACTGATCACACTGCATCTCCCAGCATCCATTGCTCTGAAAGCTGTTGTTACTGACGTAACGGCCAGAGACGGTACTGGTACCGGCTCACCTGGCCCGTTTGGACTCTGGACAGAGTTTCAGTCTCACTGAGACGGATCAGCTCACAGTTGGACCCAAACTGTTCCAGAGATGATTTAATCAAACAAGATGATTTCAGGAGGGGATTTCATTCTGTTGTTACTTATTGAGGGGAAGTTGAAGTTCTGACCTGCAGAAGGGCCTATAGGGGGCGCTAACACTCATGTTAGCTCATTACTTTCCAAAAGCACTCGGAGAGTAAAGCTGGTAGATGTGAAGGATAGCAAGACTGGAACCAGTCCAACATGTTGGACCTTCATCCAGTCAGAGGACATGTCCTCAGAGCTGCTGCTGTCTGTCCAACTCATCTTGTCCTCTGTTGTCTCTCAGTCCAACAGGTGGAGGTGAAATCAGGGGTGGAGTCTGTCCTGCTGTCCTGCAGAACCAGAGAGAGTCTGGATGGAGACGTTAGAGTGGTGTGGATGGACGCCATAGGCAGGAAGGT